CCTATTTTTTCTCTTTATTTTCTATCTTGCTTCCTAATTTATCTTGTGAAGCTGTCTTAAATTCTTGTTTGATCAAGGTGAAATACTTAAAAATACATGGAGACAGAAGCATATAAGCAAGTTCCTTGGTAGTCTGTCATATGGGGTTGGGAATAGTATATTGGGAGCCTGCTTAATACACCACAGTAGGTTATATGTTTAAAGAATACTGTAACTGATAAAAAGTTAATAAAGCAAAATTGTGCAATTCTTTGAGCACCACACACCCTTAAACCTTAAAGGTAGATGATTATATTTATTTTCATTCAAGAAAATAAATTATCAAGAATCTTCAAATAGTGAGTTTAATTTTTTTCCGAGGGCCAGAATTTTGAACTCTCAATACAAATAGTATAGAACAGGTATTGAAAAGGAAAACGAGTTCTGTATTGAAAGTACTATTGCATAAATCATATCTTAGAATACTTTCATTTTTCCCCTTAAAATAAATATAAAAACTTTTAAGTATTGTACTTACCTCCAACAAGTTCCTCTAGACTTGGCGTATGAAAAGAATACTCAGCACAGGCCATTTTCTTACTTCTTCACGTGTGAGGATGCACAAATAAAACTACTGCAGGCTAATACTCATAGGAGTTCACAGTGCACCACTACAAATAGCTGCTGCTCTGGAAATGAACATTCAGAGTTCAGTTACACTAAGAGGGCAAAAGGGCATTAGTTTTCTGTGCTCACAGAAAGGCAGCCACGCCCAGCCGGTGTGGCTCAGCGGTTGAGCATCAACCTATAAGAATCAAGTCACCCGTTTGATTCCTGGTCAAGGCACAGGCCCAGGTTGTGGGCTGGGCTCAACCCCCAGCTCTCCCTTCCTCTCTGAAATCAATTAAAAAATATATATATAAAATCAATAAAAATAAAGAAAAGCAATCACAACTTCTAGTATTCAATATTCCCAGTGACAAAATGTCCAAGTAATCTCTTTTAATACAGATACTTTATATAATTGACATTTAAAATAGACAAGAAATGGCAAACCAAGAGGGCACATACTTCATTTTCTTTAGTCATAGACCTGGATTGAACATGGGGTTTTCTAATGGTTGGGATAAGGACTATAGGTCCTGAAACAAAAAGTAGTTATTAAGCTTTATGAAGTAATGAAATGGTTGTAGATAACAGTATAGAATGCTCAAGTACTTCTATATAATAGATCATTTGTGTTTTCTAGTCTATATTTGACATTAGGCTAAAAATTAAGTTTCTTAGATTATCATTTTTAAAAAAGAAAATTTAAATTACTAGAGAAATAACTCCTGTTAATGATTAGCTTTTGAAATTCAAATTTTCATTTACAAATTAACATACTTTCTTAGTAAACAGCTTCAATATTTAATTATTCTGATAATCTAACCAATTATAATTTGATATTTTAAAAATATGTGCTAGGGCCCTAGCCGCTTGGCTCAGTGGGTAGAGCGTCAGCCTGCGGACTGAAGGGTCCCAGGTTCGATTCCGGCCAAGGGCACATGCCTGGGTTGCGGGCTCCATCCCCAGTAGGGGGTGTGCAGGAAGACAGCCGATCAATGATTCTCTCTCATCATTGATGTTTCTATCTCTCTCTCCTTCTTCCTTCCTATCTGAAATCAATAAAGAAATATATTTAAAAAAAATATGTGCTAGGTATATTTTATAATAAGTAGCCATAGATACACAGAAATTAGTATCTTACCTCAAATATTCAGGTGATAAAGTGTGCAAGCAGAGGGAGATAAATAAAATAAAGGCAAAAGAAACAAACGACAGTAATAAGGTGGACAGGAAATCCCACTCTAGGCCAGCTGCAACAAGGAACGAAGGCAAAAGTTGAGAGTGTCTCTAAGAGCACTGTTGGAACTCTCATTAAAACTGTTAATGGAAAACCTCATTAATCTGAATAGTCTCTGCTAGCTACATGGTTACTCAGTAAATGAAAGGTGGTCCTTCTGCAGCACTGGAAAAAATTCTTTCAAAAAAAGTTTCCTTTTAACTTTTCCAGAGTCCCAGGTTTCTTATAAACTGAATTTTTAGTTTTGATGATAATTCCAAACTACACATCTCCCACAAATATGCTATTGCATACACTTAGAACTTGACATTTATTTCAGTACTTTATCAAATACCAACTTTTATTATACTTTAATTAATATGCATATTCTTGTCTCCCAAATAAAAGATAAACTGTTGACAATGGGCCCCAAGTTCTATATAATTATAATTCAATGATCTCAAACATATTTTTAAAATAATATATTTTTATTGACTTCATAGAGGAAGGGAGAAAGAGAGAGAGATAGAAATATCAATGATGAGAGAGAATCACTGATTGGCTGCCTCCTGCACTCCCCACACTGGGGATCAAGCCTGCAACCCGGACACGTGCCCTTGGCCGGAATCGAACCCGGGACCCTTCAGTCCGCAGGTCAACACTCTATCCAGTGAGCCAAACCGGCTAGGGCCTCAAACATATTTTTAATTGAATAATCTATAATTGTTCAGGAATTAGACATTTTAATTTTTCCTTTAGAAATAATTTCAGATGGACAGAAATACATATAAATAATTCCTGTATACTCTTCACCTAGATTTTCCAAGTGTTAACATCATACTTTCTTTACCATACACCCAGCAAGTACTAATTAAGAACATGTCAAAATCTGCTCAATTAATATAATTTATTTATAATGAGGATAATAAAAGCATCCTAGATATTTCTACTTCTAGTACAAATAATAATGACTCCAGTTTAAATTCAAACATATCCTAATTTTACACCCTTTACTATCTTTAAAAAGCTCAGTTTTTTTTATTTACTTTTTCACCAAAATAGAAAGTCCAACCTTGGGGGCTGTAGCCTGAATAACTGGTCTAGAAATGTAGAACTTCAGTCAAGCCAACATCCCAGAAGGCAGCGTGGTAGTGTGTTGAAGTGGGAGTTGGAGGGGTGATGAGAGAAAGGGATAGAAAGGTTCTGATATAAACTCAGAGTGGCTCCAGGACAGCTGTGGGCCATATGGAGGCACACAGCTCTTACCTCTCATACTCCATTGCTGAGAGTCAGTGGCCCAGAAGTAGGGTCTAGAGATGGGAAAAGAAATAGGAACCAGCTGGATAAATGGAACTGCAGAAACAGTGAATGAGCTATGGTAACCAAGCTGATAACTATTTATTAACTGCATTTTATGTACCAGACACTATGTTAGGCACTTGACAGACATTCTCTCAAAACCCCTTACAACCATGTTGATGTCCTCATTTCATAAGAGGGAACTGGTTAGAGAATACAGTACTTACCCGACACCACAGCTATTATAAGTGGCAGAAACTGAATTCAAGCCAAATCTAACACACTGCAAAGCCAGAACGCATCACATATGCCAGTTAACCAGTGAAGGAATGACACATTTCAGCTCACAATAAGGAAGAATTTGTATTGAGTGATCTTACAGCATTGAGGATACCTGTGATGATCTGTTTGCTTTGTTTATTCCCCCTAGACCGGCATCTCTTTGAAGATAGGGCTGTTTCTCACGTCTGACTTCTATTACAGAACAAATTCAAATGAGTAAAGTTGAGGATCTAATTGGCTTTATTAAGAGATCCGTGAACCAGGCAGCATCCCATCCAAGTAAGCAGAAGGGCACTCCCAGAGATGGGCCATAAATGGAAGGTTTTTCTAGTCTGAAGGGTGTGGCAGACAAGTTATTAGCAAAAGAAAAGAAAGGATTATTTTTAGGCCAAGTTCTATTCTTTTGGGGTGAAAGGGCCGGAGGGTTGTTTATCAAGCAGATTACCACACTAGTTTTGATCTGGATATTCTAGAATCTATGGATTGGCTTCCAGTCAGTACAAAGGTTCCATATTTTGAGTGGCATTCAAAGCATGTCCTTTCACAGCTTACATTTTAGGACCTTTAATGATACTTTTCCCGATTTTTCAACAAGTGACCCTGCATTTTTCATTTTGTAATGAGCCTCACAAATTACATGCCCAGTGCTTCCTAATACGGCAGTGGAGGGGACATCCATACCTGTCCTGGAGCTCACAGTATTTCATAGACTGGACATGCCCACAGGCTCAGACTTTCTATGCCTAGAATTGTTCATTTTTTGGAGCAAAACTGAGGGAAGAGACCGGATTACCTTCTAGGTCTGCCCAAACCTGAGATGACCCTAACTCTAAGACTAGACAGGTTTACTGCTTATCATATGACACAAGAGGTCTGAACATGCACAAATCAGACCAGCTTATTCCGTTTTGTGACCGCTTTGGGGAAGAAGCCCCACCAAAACTAAGCTAGTTTTTAAATTGGTTTATGTTAATACTCGGGAACTAAGGGGGCGGGGAGGCTGAGAAAAGGAATTTATCTCCAGTGATATGTTAACCAACTCCTGGGAGGCTGACCCCACTCTAGAGTTAAACAGGTAACGAAAGTCCAAAGGTGGAGAGAACCGGGTGCCCTACGCAGTAACACGGGTGCCAGTACAAAGGTCCCATATTTTGAGTGACAGTCAAAGCAAGATCCACAGAAGAGATTTTTGAAGGCAAAAGGAGACCTAATTCGAGAACAAAGCACACTAGGCACCATGCACATCCACTCACCCACACCCGGGACGCCAGATGTGCAAACGCGAGACCACCGGAAACAAAGCCGGCTGTTCCCTCGCATTCACACCCGTTCTGCTCACTTGTCCGCACAATTTCTACCCGTCGTTTGCCTATGCTCTTGGCTATGGCGCTTACCTAACGGGTTAGTTACGGAAGCCTGCGTCTAAGCCCTGCCTCAGGCAACCCCGCCTCCTCTGGGTTGGAGTTCAGGCCCCGCCCACTTGCCATCGCTCCTCCCCCCCCCGTGGCCACCTGAGCGGCGCTCCCCGTACTCCCGCCTCTCGCGTTCTTTCCGCAGCCAAACTGTTATCGCGAGAGTTTGGCCGCACTCTTAACGAAGTCTCGCGGTTGGTTCCGTCTTTTCCTCCGCGCGCTTGCGGAGGTCGGCGGTTGTTTCGTGCTGTGCCGCTGAGAGTGGCGGTTCCTGGATGCGGGCTTCCCAGGCCTGGGCTGCGGGTGGCGCGTACGCAGCTGAGGCCCTGACGGAGCCGGCGTCGGTGGTGCCCGCCGTCTGCCGACCTAGACCTACACGGGTAAGAAGAGGACAGTGCCAGCCGGGCCTGCTGGGCGGGGGAGGGGGTGCACCTCTAGCTTTTGTCGCCCCACCCCCCACCCCCCGCGACGCTCGTGAGGTTCGAGCCGAAGAAGTCGGGCCTGAGGGCGGAGGCACACACCACGATTACAGCGGGTGTGATCCAGGTGCAGGAGTTGTAGGCGACATAGACAAGTGCAGGTGCTCTGGGCTAATAGCACCAGTAACGCTTAGGCCGTCTTCTGTGCCGGAGGGCAGGCGGCTCCTGAGAGGCACCAAGGTCTGGTAATGGCTGGAGAGGCTGTGGGCGCCGGCCGGGTGCAGGGCAGGCCACGTGGCCTCGCCCAGTTTGGAATAAGGGACACTCATGCTGTTTAGATAAGTTTCAGAAACTGATTTTTGAATTAACTACACTTCATTCTGAGAATGTCCTAATATTTAAAAAAAATTCAACCTCGGGTATAGCACCAGCGCCATTGGCCCCAATGTTGTTGAATTTAATTTTTGAGCATTTTTTGACAAAGTCTGATTTTGAATATAAACTACAACAAAACCATGAAACTACTACGTGAGTCCATTGGACATTTTGGAAAATCTAAGATACATGTGATCTTATTGATTGCCCATTATTTGAAATGTTTTCCTGTTAATTCTAAGAAAACTTTAATCTTTACTCATTGGTCATTGTCAAGTATGTTAAACACTGAAAAATGCAAACGTGGAATGATGATGACATCCTCTAAGAGCGAACCAGTATTCTCATCTTTATTTTTTTTTAAATTGTATTTTGATTTCAGAGAGACAGGGAGAGAGGGATGGAAACAACAATGATGAGAATCATTGATGGGCTGCCTCCTGCATGCCCCCTACTGGGGATCGAGCCCACAACCTAGGGGATGTGCCCTGACTGGGAATGGAACCGGGACCTCCTGGTTCATAGGTCAGTGCTCAAGCACTGAGTCACCCTGGCTGGGCTTTATTTTTAATTTTAAATTATTTTCCCAAACTATTGTAAAATTTTCCAGGAATTTTTTTGAAAAGGAAGATAAAGGACATCAATGTTAATAGTCCAATACCCTCATTGACGTTTGAGAGAGAATTCAGAACTTTTAATAACCATAGTAACAAAAAATTATGCCAAGAAAGGGGATTCATAGTGATTTTGTTGAATCGGTATGAATGGGCAAACGCCACAAATGAAAATCCCAGGCCAGGAGTTTAAAAATGGTGTGATGGACTGAGATAGTAAATTATTTTTCCTGGTATGCTGAGGCTTGCTTTGTGAAACATTTCTAGGAGTTCCCATCTGCTTTTGGAAAATGGCTTTGGGCCATTAATTGCACATCACTAAATGACTAATGACAAAATTGCATTTTTTCCTGTTATTGGAAAGATGTTTGATATTTTTTGGGGGGAATGACATTTTCTAGAATCTTGTTCCACTAGATAGCTTTAGAGGCACAACTGAAAGATACAACACATTAATAAAATTTCTAGATTTTAGGATTTTTGATTTGAAATGGATGGTTTCTACATGAAAATATGAATGGCCTTGTAAATGATTGTTCCTTAGTTTATATATAATGGCTTAATCTGTATCAAATTTGCATTGTTTGAATACTAGCTGTTTGTGCGGGCACTTGTTCGGGGAAACTAGACATATGTAGTGTATTTTATGTTGTCAGAAATTTGGTGAAAGCAAAGAACAAGTGAGAAGAACAATTTTGAGACAGATTGGAAGAAGATATCAGGAATGGATTCTCCAGACTACATAACAGTATCTGATTCAGCTATGGAAATTGAAAATCAAAAGTAAGTGCATTTTTTTATATCAGCAGCAACTGCTAGATTTTCACTAGAAAACACTAGATTTGATAATGTTTACTTGAATTACCGGGAAAGCAGAAATCCTTGTAGATAAGGAGTGGTGGTAAAGGTAATTTTCAAGGATTAGGAAAGAAGAGAAAAAGCTGGTTTACACAAACCTGAGCAGGTTTTCCTGCTTCTGTCCTTGAAGAAACGTACATTACTGGTAATAAGCATTCAATCATATAAATAGGATACATTAATTTTCCCCCTTTTTTTCCTTAGTGATAGCTCTTCCTCTGATAGCAGCTTATTTAAAACTCAATGTGTTCCTTCCTCACCTAAACGGAGGCAAAGAAATCCCATTAGGAAATGTGTTCATTCACTTGAAAGTGTTCAAGCAAGAGATTCATCCAGTGACTCATCTATAGAACCAAGACCATTGACTTTAAAAGCTATTTTTGAAAGATTCAAGAAAAAGAAACCAAAGAAACGTAAAAAGAGGAAATACAAGCCAACAGGAAGACCAATGGGAAGACCAAAAGGAAGGAAAAACAGTAGGTCACAAATAAGTAAGAAACAACTTAAAGTTAAAAGACCTCAGTTCCCATTTATAGAGTCAGAGAATGGAAGAAAACCAATACCTTGGAGGAAAATTTTAACCTTTGAGGTGAGTTGGTGTATGTGGGTACCCATAGCTAAAGTGCCTGAAATGGCGTGTTGGTCACCTAGAATTTAGATGGCTTCACTTGGCTACTAGGTGGAATTTTTACGGGTGTATTTAGTGAATATACCTGTATATGAAGTGCTCCAAGGCTGTTCATTTTCTTATTGATACTGAGCAGTTAATTTCTGATAGAATTGCCTGATAAATGCCCTGTAATTAGCAGTATACGCTCCTGTATTTGATTTAATGTTTGCATAGTTAATTTTAATTGCTTGATTTAAATTCTGATTTATTTGAGGGAATTAATACTGAACTTTTTTTAAAAAAATGTTGATTTCAGAGAGGAAAGGAGGAAAGAGAAACCTCAGTGATGTGAGGGAATCATTGATTGGTTACCCTCCTGCACACCTCCCACTGGAGCATGCAACTCAGGCATGTGCCCTGACCAGGAATTGAAACTGGGACCTCCTGGTTCTTAGGTCGAGGTCCATAGGTCGACGCTTAACCACTGAGCCATGCCAGCCTGGCAGTTAACCTATGTTTTAAGGTGATTATAATAAAGCCTCAAAAATTTGCTTATGTGCGCCCTGGACGGCTTAAGTGGTTAGAGCAGCGGTTCTCAACCTGTGGATTGCGACCCCTTTGGGGTTCAAACGACCCTTTCACGGGTCGCTTAAGACCATCGGAAAACATACATATTGTTTTGTAATTAATCACTATGCTTTAATTATGTTCAGTTTGTAACAATGAAAATGTCCTGCGTATCAGATATTTACATTACAATTCATAACAGTAGCAAAATTACAGTTAAGAAGTAACAACGAAAATAATTTTATGGTTGGGGGTCACCACAACATGAAGAACTGAACTAAAGGGTAGAGGCGTTAGGAAGGTTGAGAACCACTTGATTTAAATTCTGATTTATTTGAGGGAATTAATACTAAACTTTTTTAGTGGTTAGAGCATTGGCTGGTTGGCACACTGAAGGTTGCAGGTTTGATTCCTGGGCAAGGTCATGTACCTCAGTTGCAGGCTCAATCCTGGTGAGGGTTCATGCTGGAGGCTATCAATCGATGTGTTAATCACATTGATGTGTGTCCCCCCCCCCCCACTATTTAAAAGCAATAGAAAAATAACCCCAGGTGGGGTTAAAAGATTGTTTATCTGCATTTAAGTCTAGTAATTCCCAAACAACATATGATTTGTTCTTGGTTGTACCAACTTTGGTAAGTTTGATAATTTTCTAGGTAGCAGTGAGTTTTACAGTCAGTATTTGTTGTATTACATGAGTTGCATATGGCAGAGTAGTTAAATCAAGATCTCTGAGAGCTCTTGGTAAGGGGGTCCTTGCTGTTTTGGAACACACCTCTGTTGAGGGGTGGAGGAAAGTGTTACTTTGTAAGGCTGTGACTTTCTGATTTGTAGCAAGCAGTGGCAAGAGGATTTTTCAACTACCTTGAAAAACTGAAATATGAATACCACCTCAAGGAATCCTTAAATCAGATGAATGTTGGTGAAGATTTAGAAAAAGAAGACCTTGATAGTCGTAGATATAAATACTTGGATGATGATGGATCAATCTCTCCTATTGAAGAGTCAGCGTAAGTTTAATCATGTCAAATTGTTTTTTATTAATGCTCATTCATCCTTATGCTTTTAATTTGTTCATACTTTAATAATGATGGGAGCAAAGATTCAATAGGCCATTTGGGTTATTACAGTTGAGCTATGAGCTTGGCACATGAGAGCCAATTTTGGGTGTTATACATGACAGTGTAATTTTTCTCCTTGACTATAGCTATTTTGTGTGTAGTAACTATATAATATACTATTGGGTTATAGAGGATTTAGTCATCTGATATTTTGAATATTGCAGAGAAGAAGATGAGGTTCCTACAAATCTTGGACGTGATGATGAATGTGATATCAAATTGGTGGTAAGTGACATTTTTATCCTGTTTACTTTTGGGAGGGTGCCTCAGATGGTACAGGAAGAATTTTATCCAGTAGTTACTGTCTTACAGTCCCTGTTTAATTTTGGAAAGGCTATAATACATTTGGTGCAAGAAATGCAAGAATAAAAATGCTTTTTGGGGAGTTTAGTGTGACATGGACTTTTTAGTACTATTGTTAGGTTTGCTACTAGTCTATCAATTGAGAATAAAAGCAAAAGTTAATTGGATTTTTAACATCTTAGATGTCTTCAGGTTGAAATCATCTAGAACTCAGTTATGTGTAATTACTAAAGCAATAAAGTTTTAGTTACTGCTTAATATTGGTATCTTTTATGCAGGAGAATAATTATTTCATAATAAGTTCTGAATTACCAAAGAAGATGAATGTATATTTAGAGCAAGAATACACTGAAGACGTTGCTTTGCCTAAAAAGAGAGTATCAAAGTCCAAAAACATTGGACAGAAGACAGAATGACCTGAAAAGGAGATACGAACGTGAATGTCAAGGTAAAGAGACTAGAGAAAAAGAAACTACAGAAAGTAAAGATGATGTGAATATATATGCCAGTCCAGTGATAAACTGCCACGATGAAAATAAAAAGAACCTCTGAACAAATTTGTGAAAGAAACTTGCTAAAGAAGTAATTATTAAGAAAAATTGAAGTGAAATTGTGCATGTACAAAAAAATTGAGGCTTTCATAGCAGAAATAATCTATTGCACAATAATAAAGTCCTACTGCCTGGCCAGAGTGGCTCAGTTGGTTGTCATCCTGTGCACTGAAGGGTTGCTGGTTTGGTTCCTGGAAAGGGCACATGACTTGGGTTGTGGGCTTGATCCCCAGTTGGCGTGTTCAAGCGGCAGCCAAACGATGTTTCTGTCCTTTCTCTTCAGTATCTCCTCGGAGAGGATTAAATAAAAATAAAATTTTTAAAAGGGTCCCACTGTTTTTGCCTATAATTGTTTATATCAGCGTAAGAGCTTAAAGGTATTATTTGAGCACTGAATCAAAGTATAGAGATTGTAATCCTAAAATCAAAATCTTATCACTAATGAATGACAACAAGTCACCCTTCTTAGGATATCTGAAACCCTTATTATATTTTTATCCAGTTTTATTCAGACAAAAGTGACCTTTATTGTCAAATGTTCAGTGCTAAGAATTTAATAATTTCCCCTTCTTAACAGCCTGGAATACTATCATTGTCTTGTCGCCATAAATATTACTGATAATACTGCTAAATATACTGCATTTCACAATAGCACTTGTGTTTGTTTTTGTAATTTGTGGACAAAAACTACATACAGGTGCTAAAAATAAAGCCTCTTTTGCAACCCAGAACTCATTGCTCAGTATGAGTTTTGATACATATAAGAAGGAACATACCTAAAACACTGGTTCCAGGACTGTAGGATTAATAATTTAGAAAGCATAGAATATAAGGGAAATATCAACCGTACTGCTTTAGTATTTTTATTTTGCTGTTGATAACACTATAACAAAGTTGACTTTTTTTTTATTAGGGTTTTATCTTGAGAACACTATCTGGATTTATGTAACTCTTTAGGTGAGTTTTTGGATCGGATTTGTTTAAATGTAGCACATTGTCAGGTAATATAAATCTCCACAAGTTTCATTATTAAAAGACTTTGCCAATTTTTAACTTCTGATTAGGACACGATTTCAGAAAATGAATCTTGGGAATCACTGTTATATAGGGATACTGTGCCAGCTTCACTTTACTTGCAGGAAAGGGTCCCAAAACTGGCAGTTGGGCTATAGAGGTACATTTAATACTATATACTAGAAATGACTAGGACACGACTTCGTAAGTTTAATTGGCATAAAGTTTTCAAATGGTAAGAACATAAATATAGCCACATTAAAACTTTTCCTGTATTTTTATATTTGATAACAAGTAGCTAAGGGGAAGATTATTTTATATAGATCTTCATTTCTGAGGCAAAAATTCTGTTAACTTTGCTGTGTAATCTGGGAATTTCATAGGGGAAAGATGGCAGTACCAAAATTCACAAAAATCAATTTATACATGGATATTAGAGTAGCTACTTGCCATTTTGTATGTTTTTTTGGGCGGAGTCAGAATGTACTTTCTCTGCAGCATTGCTAGAATCTTTTGTGATTAATTTTATGGGATAATTTTATTACAAATTTGAAGATGTTTGACTATTTTTATAATTTTGAGTTTAAATGATTGGAGCAGATCAGTTCTCATTGTCTTCCTATGGAGACTTAGGTTTGCTTATGCCTTTTAAAATGTGTAAATGATTGAGGTCTATCCCGATGGGTCTTTTTCTGTAGACTTACATCGTTGGAAACGCCTCATAGAATAAATATGTTGTTTCCTTTATTCACAGAACTGTGTGTTAGATCTGTGGGAAGGAATTACAAGACAGCTGCTAAAACTGTGACAGAATTAATAATCTAATTTTTTTAAATCTTAGGTATTTTTGTATATCCTGAAGATCTGTACGATTCTAGGGAGTGATAGCTTAGGTAAGTTTTAATTGGCGACAGTGTGACAACTTTAGGGTACAACTGCAGTTCAGATGATGAATTTAACTGTTCAACTGCTGAATGATACAGACATGAACTAAAACATAATTCTGACAGCTGAATATAGCTCTGTATAAGTTTTAGTTTTTTAATCACATTCATCAATCTTTTATTTGGTGTTTTATCTGTAGGAGTGAAGATTTTAACTTACTCATGTGTAGAGGTAAGTGGAACATTTAACTTTTCATTTATTAAGGATTCAAAGTTGTGAAAAGCAATTTGTGAGTAGAGTAAGTCCTCCCTTAACACTATTGATAGGTTCTGAAACTATAAGTGAAGGGATGTAAAAGGAAGCCAGTGTGACCACAGGCTAAATGATGAGAAGTTGCTGTGGCATCTCAACTTGATAAGGACACCTTGAACAAAAGGATGTTAAGTTGAGGACTGCTGTACTGCATTCCACTACTGTTGTGACTAATAGATTAGGTATAAAGCAGAATTGTCAATATCTTGTTGAAAATATTTGCCATAATTGTATTTATATACAAAATTGGTGGTGGGGAGGGGTGGGAGTTGAAGAGACTGCATGTCTAGGGGTACCAAATGAAAATGTCCCCTTTTTGCACCCTTTTATTAAACGGACTGTTCCATATGGTTCATCCTAGAAATGCAGACTTGGATATGTTAAAATAGCAAAGGAATTCCACCTAATAACAGTTTGAACAATGGTAACCTTTATTTCTAGTGCAAAGAGAGAGGATAAAGATAATAGTGACTTAGGTTTATAGTTTATTGCATTAATATGGTTGCCTCATTGAAATGACAACTGGAAAGTCGCTGTTTTTAAAAAGATTTCCCCCCATTGACCCTCCCCCCACCAACCCAGGTCTTCACACTATTGTCTGTGTCCATGGGTTAGTGCATATAAGTTCTTGGGTTAATCTCCCTCCCCCCACCCCAATTCCTCCTGAGTTTTGTCAGCTGGTTAACATGCTTCTGGATTTTGTCCAATGATATTTAATCCTCAGATACTTAAAACAGAAGTGTTTATAGTTCAGTCATAATGCACTGCATGGTATCTGCATTCAGTAGTTTATTCCTGCTGGGTGTTCAAAGGACAGTGCAATATAAATTCAGTATCTGGCATCGTTGGTTTTCTTGGCTTTGTGCATGTTAAACCTGGTATTTTTATTGAGACATTATTCTTACAGTTCTTAGTGTTCAGTTAGACATAAGTAATCTTCAGTAGGAACTAATACTTGTCTCTTGTCCCTAGTGTCTGATATTAAAAAACCAGGCAGATCCATCTACTACTCAGACCCTAACCACGTAAGCCTTTCTATTTCTGTTGCTTCTAGTGGTTTCTTTCCTTTATTGATAGCAAGTGTCAGCAGGAACTACTTCTATACAGATGTCAAAGGCTTTTGCATAGTGTATACATAAGCTTGAGAGAAACTTTTATAAAGCCTCATTCTATATGAAAATGGGCACTGTTTTTTGTGTACGGTGTCCAGAAATTTGTTATTGTGGCTATATTGAGACACAGGTTATGCTTCCATCACAGTAATCTTATTACAGTGGTGACAATGAGACCTGTAACATTTTTTGCTAGGCTCAGTGAGCGGAATAATAAGTATACCTTACATCACCTGCTAAAATAATAACAATGTTTTTCTTAATACTCAATTTATAGGGTCCTAAAGTAAATTGCTTGAAGAAATTAGTTCCCAATGATTATAGGTAAGATTTTAATTTTTTCCTTCAAACTCCCTCCTAGTTTACAGGAGACTTAAGCTCCTTTATAAAATTTCAGTATTAATGTCCTTGCATTTATTCACTTATTACAGTAGCCCATCCTGGTGGCTTATTACTACCACAAAAAAATTGGACATTAAAAAGGCCGACCGCTATGCTTATAGTGTTCACCAGCATGATGTTATGATGATGGGCAAAATGTTCAACTGCTCTGAATGAGCTGAATGAAAAATAGCCATCTGAACATCCATCTACATAATAAATATGAAAGCTAAGATAAGCATTCCCTGAAACACAAACATTTCCAAATAGTGCATTTTCTATGAGAATTTTATGAATGGAAATGGATTAAGTCTTATTTTAACATTAGATTTGTTCCCAATATTTAATTTGATTGAAAAGATGCTTATTCCAATTATTTTCAGTTTCAAGCCTGGAACTTTCAATGTATGCTAGTTGGGAACTGGTTGTGAGGGTACTTTGGACCCTAATGAAATGTATTTTGAAAAATTTAGTCCAATATGAACGTTAAAATCTTTCTTCATAGGTGCAGAATTTTTGAAGTATGTCCATATTCAAGTGTAGATCAAAGAAGCTCAACTAAAAGGATTGTGGCAAGTATTGTCTTTATCTTACCCCACACCAAAGTATAATGGTCATTACCAAGGCTTTTAGAATGTAGTTTCTCATTTGCCGTGGACATGACCACAAAACATTTCCCCAATAGGTTTTTTTCTGCTATGTTGGTACCATAGCATTCAGCCTACTGGGAACATTTTACTAACCTAGATTTACATTGCTAGATCACAGTCCACTATACATTTGACACAAGCTATAGGAGATTTCTGTAATAGTCCTTGGGAATCAGATTTGATGACAGCCATTTTAGATGTCTGGGGCTTGATGTCCTTGTCTAGCCAAGTCCTTCTCAGTTACCATACAGTTTGTGATCATGATAATCTCTATTCCTATTATATAGGACTGACTTGAGATGACATCCGGATTGAGCAAAAAAGGTATGTAAACATTAGAAAAAGGTATTAATTTATGGGTCATTTCAAAGAGAGCTTATGGGACTAAAACCAGGAGCTCTTAACGCTGTGACCTAAAATTGAAGTTCTCCATAGGATGTAATAGACACTCAATAGTGTCTATTTTGTCCTGAAGAGATATATGATTTAGCTACTTACATCAGTGATCGGTGAGGTGGGAAAGTAAACTTTCCAAGTTTAACCACTGCATACTCTTCTTTTTTAGGGAATAAGATGATTAAGACTCAAACTCAGGAGGAACTAAGGCAGTGGAAGAACTCAGAACATGTGAAATTCCTTAAATAAAAGTTTATTAACTTTAAATAATTGTGCCTATGTTACAAATAATAAAAGTCCTTCATACTTTTTGTAGAAAGTCAGCATGTATTTTTGGCTCGAAGTTTCTCTAGTGTTTTCTGTGGAGGGAATAAAAGTAAATTTTAGTTTCAATTGTGTACTTTTGACATGAAAAATCACTTTGTACCTTACTCACCTTATGAAATTCCTTTGCTCTAGCTCTGTTTTGGGCATAAGCTTCTTGTTTTGCTTTCTCTTCCTTTTGTCGTTTTACTTCAGGTAACTGATTGTGTAACCTGTAAGAAATTTAAGTGGAAATCAAAGACAGATACTTAAGAAATGTGAACATTATTAATACACACACATATAAAATACGTACCTTAGAGTCCTTTGGTGCTTGAGGGCCTGTGCAGCCTTTCTGTCTTCGGGAAGTGACACTCTAACTTGACTTTTTAGGCCATTCACATGTGAACCTGAGCAGAGAACAACTAATTTGGTAAGCCAGATTCCCTTTCTCAAATGAATACAAATGTTTTGGGGAACTTACCTATAGAAAGTGTTGGCTTAATCTCTTGGTTTTCAGGATTTCTAAAAACATGTGTTTTATTCCTTATTTCTTTCTGTCTCTGGCAAGATCTCTCTATAAATGATTTTTTTCTCTTTGCAAATGCTTCTTGTAAGCTTCCTGGTGCAGGTGTAAACTTTGACAGGGTTTCTGGTAGAAAAGAAAAGTTGAAGCTATTTTTACCTCATTGAGCAACATGCAAACTTGGAACTTCAATTTGTGTAGGGAACTCCCACTAGCCTTTGGATCACTGACCCATTTCAGATGCTCAACGCATACCTGCAGACACTGCAGCTGGCTTCTCCACAGAATGGTCTGGTGCTGCTGGATACTTTGAGTTTTCTGTTTCTGGTACAAGAGGCAGAAATTCACTCTCCTAATTGCAAGAAAGTCATAGATGAAAGCAAAGTTTAGCTTAAAACCCTGTCAGGTTTAGGACTGAGTTTCTCTGGCTAGGGAAAGTCTTGATTTGCCCAGCTGTACAATGAACAGCTTTCCCCCCAAGCCAAGCCTACTTTCCCATCCTACCCTAAAGTTTTTCCTCTGATTTGGCAACAGTTCACAAAAAACACTTGCATATAAATAACCTGGAGCCCTTATTAAATTATAATTCATTATGAGCCAGGCAAGAAACACATGGTTTGCTTCTTGGCCATTGCAGAAGATATTTCAAAGAGCTTTGAAAAAAGGGGGAATGTGAATTTAATAGTGTTTGAAATAGTCTTATTTTCAGAATAAATGTCTAAAGCAATAGAATAGCACTTTCTATATCCATCTCAGTTCCAGATTTCCTTACCTATCTTGCCTCAGATTTGGAACAATTCTAACCCAAGCTTAAGTGAAATCTATAGCATCAGAAATACATGTATTTAGGAGCATCTGAGATCTTCCCTGGCATGTGTCACCAGTTTTGGCTCAAATTTGTAAAAGCTAAAAACATTTAGGACTATTACACGATATAAAACTGTTCAAGGGGGTGGTGGTGATAGGCTTTTCTAGTTTCTGCTCTGAACACAGAAAACCTGCACTTGCAAAAAACTGCAATACAGGGAAGGACATTAATTTGCAAATAATTCTAATGGAAAAAACTGACTCGTGGAAAGAAAAGTGAAAGAGTAGTACCTTTTTTGTTCCCTAATTCTCAGCTATGGGTTGCTGTATAAAGTGTATAATATGACATTTACCTGAAAACTTTTTGCCTCATTCTTTTCTTCTATGGATAAATTTGCAAATTCCATTTCAGCAATACTGATGTCACTGGCGCTTACTAACGTAAGTTCTGGTTCTTCCATTATACCATGGCCAGACTCTGTCTCCTGTGCAGTAAAATTAAAAAGAAAACCATATCCAAACATGTAATACCTTAATAAAGAAAAAAAACCATGTCCAAAAGTAATAGCTTTAAACATTCAATATGTGAAAATGTACATTCTGGAGGAAGAACCACAACATGGCAGTGCACCCCGACTTTTAATAAATACTGGAGAGAGACCCTGACTGGTTTGGCTCAGTGGATAGAGCATTGGCCTGCAGACCGAAGGGTCCCGGGTTCAATTCCAGTCAAGGGCATGTATCTTGGTTGCGGGCACATCCCCAGTAAGGGGTGTGCAGGAGGCAGCTGATAAATGTTTCTAGCTCTATCCCTCTCCCTTTGTAAAAAATCAAAATATATTTTTTAAAAAATTGCAATAATGTGATAATTGTTTGAAAATATCTTCTGCAAGGATTATACACTCACAGGATCACAGGGCTAGGCTGATGAGTACAGGATAATGGGGAACCAGAGGGTAGCTTGTCTAAAGGGAGTAGCGCTAATGGGTTGAAGCCAAATGTAGGCCCCTGCTTACAGATTAATTTCTTAAGGGAAATACCATCCTTTAAACACCAAACAAGAATTTACAAAGAAAATCCAAAAGCCAAATCATGTCTGGTCTAGATGTTGACAAGCAATACTATAGTCAGGTGATGAGTTGAAACAAAATAGATTACTGCAGCAATTTTCAACTGGTGCACAGCGGCTATTTAGTCGGGCACTGACCTCTTTTCCCTTACAGAGAGTCAAATAAAAAATGACAGCCAATGCACAACCAGCCATTTGGTGTGAATCTAAATCATGCCATTTTTTTTTTTTTATCAGATCCACAAAAAATTTTTTTGGTGTGCCTTAGAATTTTAGTAATTATGTGTGCCATGAGATGGAAAAGGTTGAAAAATCACTGGATTAACTCAATGCAGTGCAATGGGGTTGAACACAAAGTGCTGAAGCATGGGGCCAGCCACCATTCCTCAGTGAAGCTGAGAAGGGATATGTGAATTGGAAGGAAAATCTAGTAAAATTCAGAGATCTCCAAATTTGGAGATTTCTGATGATTATAAAATTGGTTATCAGGTATACTAACAAGTAGCTTTGTTGTTTCTCTTGAAATTTGTTTCAAAAGTCCCCCTGGGTTTGGACTTTTATGCTGTTGAATTTTTTCTGTTGAATATTATTTTGTTGAATACTATTTCTGTTGAATAATATTAATAATTACTCTTAAATTATAACATGCATACATACACACACACACTGAGTGGCCAGATTATTATGACCACCCCATCAGTACTTCATTGACACTTCCAAAAATACTGAATATTGAAAACTTCCTAAGCAAATACTCTCAAGGTTTTATTATTCTTTGCATAACTAATTCACTTCATTGTACTGATGGGGTGGTCATAATAATCTGGCCACTCACTATATAATGCTTGTGTGTACATTTTTGGCCAGTATCTTAACTAAACAAAATAAAAACACAAATACTAGTTTTAAAAAAATATTGGAAAAGCATTCTAAATGTCATTTATACAATGCAGACTTCACTTACCCAGACTGGAATAGAGCTCTGTTGTAGAAATGATCCAGAAGTGGAAAACAACTCTGATTGTGATGGCTGAGACAGGTTTGGTGTGATTTTTGGAGTTTCTGCTTTAATAGAATTCTCAAAATACTTTTCATTCTGAATAGTATGTGGTATCTGAACTGAAGTTCCCATCTCCACTGTTCTTACACATAATTGTGAGTCAATTTCCTGTACATCTGGATTTACACTTAAAACTCCACAGGTTTCATTTTTATCCTCCTCAGTGAGCCCTTGACTGTGTAACACTGTATCAGCCCCTCTTTCTGATAGTTCTTCAAAGCCCAGTCCTTCTTTTTGGCCTTCTAATTGGTCTTTCACTGAGCACTCACTAGAGGTAGAACCACATGGAGTGCTATGTGGTATATTTAATTGATGAAATACATTAGCCTCAGCAGATGAACTGAAGACTGAACTTTTCAAATTTCCTACAGAGAGCTGGAAATGAACATTTCCCCCCTTATTTTGTAATATTTCAGTCGGTTCAGAGGAGGAGTACTGATTTTCCATGCCTTGGGAAGAATCTCTTGCTTCAATGCTAAAAATACTTGGTAGGTCAGCATGCTGGATCCCCTCCTGTGAAGAAAATTCTGGCAGAAGCTGTTGAAAAGACTGTTCAGATCCTACAATAAGAAGTTTAAGAGATCAGTTAATCATCATGTTATAAAACTTGGGTAGAGATATAGTCCCTAATACTTTGCCTAAATTGCAAAGGTTAGTTCCTATAATTTTAGGAAAGTTGATATAAATAAACATGAATAGAAAGCTAAAGGATGGTCACAGTGACTTTGAAATAACTCTACTGCTCACACCACCATGTATTTTCTCCTATTTTAATATTTTTTAAAAATATGACTATTTGACACAAATTTTCCCTCATAAAAGAACAAAATATTAGTATTGTTATAACAGGTAAAATGTGCATGTGTATCTTATGTATTTATGTGTACATAAAACTTGTGCAGAGAGAAACTAAGATGGCGGCATAGATAAAAACCGGGAAATTGCTGCTTCCCACAACAATCGATAAATGCATCAAAAACACAAGGTGGACATCATCCAGAACTACAGGAGGGCTGGCTGAGTGTAAATTCTACAACAAGAAGGAAAGAAAAGCACACTGTGAGCGGGAGGAGCTGCGGAGGTGGAGTGCAGAGGTACGGGGGCTCTGGCACCTGAGGACGCGGCTGTCTTTTTGAATCCGGAGGGAGACACAAGCTCCCGACGGCTCTGAAATCCGGTTCCGGGAAGTCTCTGGGGACCCAGGACTCATACGGGGAGATACTGGACTGTCTGGCAGCTGGCGAGCTTGAGAGCGGCTTTCCCTCACAGGTGCTTGCAGCCATTGCCGGGACACTGGGACTCGCAACTCCTTAGGGCAGGGCTGAGGCTCCGCCATAGCTGCTTTCTCCGCCCTTTGATTTCTTGAGTCCCCGCCCCGCCCAGGTTGCGGCAGAAGCTTTTGCATATGAATGCCCCAGCCATTTGCAACCTGTAATTACCTAACCGCAGCTGGGGCCAGATAGACCCAGAGCTTCCAAGAAAAGGCCCAAGGCCCCACAGCGACTTGCATTGCTACACAGCTGAGCATCATCAGGGCACTTCCAAACTCC